TTACGTATAGTGTAAATGTGAAGTATGGCTTTTGAACTGTTTTTTTCTTTTTTTTTTTTATATGATTACTGCACTATGAGGACACATGGCAAAGAAGTTATCAGATGAGTAGAGGAACCTTAAGAGCAGCATACAAAGCTGCACATGGATAAGGGAGTGTAAATTCTCAGTACCAGAGCCAGAAGTCTGAGTGTGCTCCAATCGTAGTTACAAGACTGGGTTTCCAGTTCTAGTTTGCACAAGTGCAGTATCGTTTTTGTACCTCAGGAAGAAGGAAAAACAGAGCAATTCCAGCCGTGTCTATAATGAGCTCAAAATGACAGGTAATGCAAACATCTGCAAGTATTTCAGTAAAATACCTGCAAAATATCCACCAAAAGAATGAACAAGATTTAAAAGTACAGTTTCTCTCACTACTTATTCACAGTTAGATGTCTTAATAAGTATCCCAGCAGCACTCCAGGAGGCGGGGGCTGGCGGGGGAGTTGAACATGAGCCAGCAGTGCACCCTTCCGGTGACAGAGCCTCTCCAGGCTGCCTTAGCCAGAGCACAGCCAGCTGCTCGAGAGGAGGGATTGTTCCCCTCTCTGGAACTGCGAGGCCATGTCTGCAGCCCTCTGTCCAATTCTGCGTTTTCCCATACAAGACACCAGTATACTCAAGTGAGTCCAAAGGACGGGAGCGCAGGAGGTGCGAGAAAAGACTAAGTAGACTCTCTTGCCCAGAAAAGGGTCAGGCAAGGACGGGAATAATTGCAGTCTACAACTACACAGAGACAGACTCAGCGACTCACAGCAAAAGAACAAGAGCCTGTGGTTACAGTACAGAGGGAAATTCTAATGAGATATGATGAAAATATTTGCATGGTGAGAAAGGTTAAGTACTATAACAGATTGCCCAGAGAGGCTGTGGTATCTACATCCGTGGAAACATTCAAAACTTGACTGGATGATCTTATTTGACTATGATGGCAGCTCATCATTGAGCTAGTGTTGGGTTAGACAACCTCCAGACATCCTTTCTAACCTCAATTGCTCTATGATTTTATGTTTACTATCTTGGAGGAGGATGGAGGTAAAAAAGGAAAGCTGAAGGTAGTGGTAGATGCAAAAAGGATTTTACACTAAACAATTAAGAAAAATGTTTATTGCCAATATTATCAGCAGAAAGAATAATGAAGAACAATAATTTAACCATATATAATACTTAATTTTGGAAAAGCAAAGATTTATTTTGCATAACATTTCCAGAGCTGTTTAAAGGAGCATCACTTTGTAATAGCCCTTCTGGAAAACTACACTGGCCTTTAACGCTGTTTGGCTGTGCATTGAAACTGTCAGTACTTCCTCAACAATAACACTTCAGGTTATGTCTTTCAGAAAGGTTTCTAATGAGAAGTTAGAAAGACTTAATTTTGCGATATGCCAAAGCGGTGTGGTTCAAAGACACTAAGTATTCCTGGATGTATTTAGAATACGTAGGGGCCTTTCCCCACTTGTGAAGGAAATAAATATTTTATTATTGCCACAGAACTAACCATGATGTTCTGTTTTAGAAAGCTATCATAAATACTAACGTTATAATGACAGCATGTAGTGAAACAAGCTTAACTAAGTTTAAAACCAAATGCTCAAGTTGGGAAACAGTTCCTAAGTAATGTTTGGTTTGAGATCTCTTGAATGTCAACAGACACAAGATGAATAAACAGCCAGTCTGTTTTCAGCATCCTCCAAGGGATGCTGACACACAGCAGGTTGGCACAGATGCCCCAGACACAATTCTCATCTTGTCTCAGTACACTATCCCACATCTGAGTATGTTTTCAGTCCATGGCAGCATTGGGAACCAACGCCAAGGAGCAGTTCATTGGCAGGAGAGCTCCTGCCAACAGCAGGTGATAAAATCAGCTGGAGGCAGAGCATGTGGCACTGTCCAAAGGGTATCTCTACAGTGCAGTTGGGATTGGGTAGGTACCATACATCCTAAGTGTCATATTGGTTTATTGGTAGGGTTTTGACAGCAGGTGTCAGGTGAAGGCAGATCAGCTAGGTTCAGAAAACATGTCAGTTTTGTTGGCTTCGCACGTCTGCCAATTTTCAGAGTCTATACCAAGTAACATATCTCCTCAGCTGGTGCGGGCAAACTTTAACCAAACTGCAGGAGAGTAGAGCCAGCTGGGCCAACGGAGGAGGCAGTCTAAACTACGCACTGTTCGCAGCAGATGTTCGCACTGGGACTCAGTACTTCAAAAGCTCTATGTCCTGCATTAATCACGCATACTCCAAATGTGTACATATCTCATATTTAGAAACCCAGAACAACCTTTTTTCTTTTTAAAAAGATGGCTCTTCATGTGAGATTCACATTGGCATAATATTTATTAGCCATAAAGAATATGGTAAGCTTATCTACTCTGAGTCACTCCAGTAAAGTCTTTAGCAGTATAGATGAATTCTTATTGCGTGCCTTCAGTTCAGTTCATGTTTAGGACAGTTAAGCACCACAGAACAACTACCTGGCACAGAATTCACTGAACTGTTGTGCCGCCTTTGTGTCAGCCATGCTTGGTAGACTGCAAACAAGCAGGTACTACACACACACACACATTTTGAAGTAAAAGTCATCTAAAACACAGTGCCAGCATAAAGCCACAGAGGAAATATCTGTTAGAGCCACACAATAAGGATATAAATGAAATGGCCTTATTAGAGTGCCAGAGAACTACATCCACAAGCAGGAGTGGGACCAAACACCTTCTTTGCATATCCAGCCATCATAACGTAGGAGACAAAACAGAGGGCTTCCAACACTGATCAACCTCACAACTTAGCCAACACCCATGTGTTTCAGCTAAAATTCTGACACCGACTTGGAAGGCAGATTTTACATTTGCAGTCCTTCTCCCTCAGACTTTGTCTCCTCTGCCTTAATGACGTCACTGTGAATTTCACCTTCAACTCCCAGGAATACATTCCTAAGCAAAGGATTAATTGAGTGACACATGCAAGTCTTTACCGCGATGTCCCAAACCCAGTCGCAAGACATTGCACATTGCAAAAGGCAAGTCAAAAATTAAGGCAATTTTAGTTACACGAATAAACAATTCCTTCAGCCAATTCAAGCTACCGAAGACAGTTCTGTTAGATTGCCTTAATACACAAAAGAACAGTTTTGATTTCCCAAGTGGAAATCTTAGAAGCCAAGTTTCAGCACAAAAACGTTTTATTAGCAAACTGTGATAACCCCTTAAATCAAAGACAGTGATATAATAATGACAATATTAGCATACAATGAAAACAGAATTAACTTACTGAGACAAGAAAAATACAATCTATTTCATTTTCTAGAGGCTCCTACATAAGAGTAAAAAATAAATCTGTATCTGTAACACCCTGCATCTGCTGCTGAGCGTGAAGTTGATTCCGTAAGGATTTCTGCCAGTGTTTCATCACTCAGCTCTCACTGGGATCTTCAAATGTTCTTATACCGGCATAGAAAGTTGAGTGAAATATGTATCAAATAAAATTGCTAACTATGCATAAAGCCAGCTTTACAAAGGCAGGTAAATCTGTACAGTAATTTAAAAGCACCTGGAATAACTGCCTCTGCAACTTGTTCACTGCAATTACATTTAAGATAGTAGCATTGACTGCAATGATCTTTCCATAGAAATCAAGATGTCAAACCCATTGTTATGGAATTTCTGCTATAATTCAGCACTTACTGTCCTCCCCTTGTATGATATAAGTTTTAAAGGAAAGCCATTGAAAATGCCAAGAGACAGATCTCTTATCCCAGTGGAAAAAGACTTTCCCAGAGGTAAAAAGTTTCAAAAGTTCAAAGCCCATTCCTCTATTGTAACTAATCGTTGCCTCTTTCCTGCTTCTTTTCCCCTCCCTCAAGTTATGAAACAACATATCTGGACTGCTTCACTTTTAGATGAATTCCAAGAGCTCTTTACTAATCAAAAGCCACTTAAAAGGAACAACAAGATTTAACGAATAAGAAACTCTAAATGGTACAAATATCAGTACATTACGATTAACACTGAAAAGGCTCGTGTGCTGGAAAACCAGTAAACGACTTCCCACACTCAAACTCCCTCCTCAGCTATCCTGTTTCACACCGCAGTGGGAGCTCCTCTCGGACTTTCAGGCCAAGCAGCAGTCGGTGCCAGAGCGCTGAGTCCTGCGAGGTGCTAAGCACCCACTGGTTCAGAGACCACAGCCATCACTTTACAAGATCATGCTGCTGTGCCAGGAAGGATTTTTTTGGGGAATTGTTACAATGTTAAGGAAGATGAGCTGGGTACTTGAGTCACTTTTGTCATTCCACAATCTCACAACAGACTACAAAGAGATGTTTTCCAACAAAATAACTGGTCATTATCTCCAGAGTTCAGACAATCCCACTGTGGATTTTCATGAACTATAGTAGGAAATTAGAAGTATCTGGTTAGCAAAAATCTAATTTAATAATTACAGTGAATACAAGAGCTGGTTCAAGTTTGCAAGACTACTTAATTTATAGACTGTAGTGGATCACAAAAGTCCAGCTTAATATGGTTGTCTTATTGCTACTATTGTCCTCAAATACATTCACATCTATCGCTTGCTATTTCTTATAAGTACTGCAGAATACCTACTTATAATTTTACATCTTACGCTTAAAATCATTTTATTGACCTACTATTTTGAGGCGTTTACAGTCATATGTCATACTTGCTAGTAAATTTCTAAACTGACCAGCATCCAGCATGCTGCAGAGTAAAATTTCATAAGGACTGCTTTTATAATGGACAAAAAGTTAAGTTTCAGGCATGAACCCCAAAATATTTCAAAATATTCAATGAGTGATCAATGAGGACACTGCTCAGTATATTTTTTTCAGTTTTAAAGTACAGAAAGACAAATAGAAGCATCCTTTTTGAACTACTCACAATAGAGACAAACACAGTGAAGTATATTAGACTAGCAAAAGCTCTTAATAAATTTTCCTACCTTATCCGCCATTATCATGGAGGCCCCGCCATGAATTCCAAGAATTGGAATAGAAGTCTGAGATGAAATAAAATCCAAAATCTGAGCTACTGCCTCCTGATCAGTGTCATCTCCAAAAACCACTCCATGGATCTTGGTGCCTGACATCAAGTCGCAAACATGTGTTATGATGCTTTTAGGGTCAGTCTGGTTCACCAGAAGGGTCACTACATTGACATCAACAGTCAGGTCTGCTGACATTTCCCTGGTCCACAGAGCTCTGATATCTCTCTCTGTGATATACTTGGTCCTTCCCAGAATCACTGCAATGTTCAGGATGGGATAATTTTTCTCTGCTCCATGAACAAGATCCAAAGGTGCCAGAAGAGCTTGAAGTACCAGGAGAGCACAGCCAATTTTCCTCATCTTTGCCAGCTTTATCCCCTGTAAAAGCGATCACATTGTATGAGAAAAACGACAGAGAGGAAAAAATATATACTGTACGTGCCCAATGGAGGTTTTAAACAGAAAGCTTCTAGACACAATGCAAACTTTAGCAGCATTTTATAATGCATTCTTCAACTCAGTTTCAATACAAGCTTCTAATACCCCCTCGAAAAGTTGGCTTGCCAATGACAGTATTACAATTGGTCTCCTGCAAGCAAGGCAAAAAAACATAGCACAAGTTCAGAGGAAAGACCCATTAAATTTCTTCCTGGATGGCCAACAAAATTAAAATGACTGACATCATGAAAAAAAAAAAAAAAGACATTATCATCCTTCTCTTTATCCTTGCCATCCTAAAACAGGTAAACCACGGAAATCTATTTTCTGCAGTCCTGAACGTCTATTTATAATTTAGTCACAGTCTAACAGGAAGAGGTGCTTTAGCTCAAAATGAGAGAGGCGAGCCAGAGGTCTGCTGAAAACCCTCATCCACATTCTCCACATCTCACAGTATCCCAGAACCATGCTGTTTCATTTCTGAAGATCTCTCCTAGGCAGCTGCTGCTCAAGCAGAGTCTACTGCATTTCTGGAACAAATTCAGAAGCACAATATTCTATCTTAGTTCTTCTCCCTCCTCTTACGTGACATTTACTTGAGCATCTCAGAACTGCTGATCTCAGGCACAAAGTTGTCACTGGTGTCGAAGGGGAGGGTGTTCCATAACCGAGCATCACTGCATTGGTTTATTTTATGTCTTCACTGAATCTCTGTAGGGGGCTGAATATAGACAGAGTAGGATGGGGAGAGAGATGAGCCATATAAGTGATCCGAACTATCTGAAGGAGGGAGAAGAGGGAGAGCAGGTCTGACTCTGCAAGATCTCCCTCCGTTTCTGTGCCCCGGGGGATTTCCACCCCCATAGCTGGCGCTCTGCTAGCTGCAAGAAGGGAGTCCCTGTGCCACATAAAGCCAAGCTTGTTGCAAAGCGTCACACAGAAAACACGAGCAGGGCTGTCCAATCAGGGGTGGCATTTTTCAGATCTCCCCTCTCGTCCTGCCAGCCCTATCTCCATCATCAATCAGAATCATCTGCTGCTGAAACACACACCAAGACGAGTGCTCGCTGTATCATCACCTCCTTTCGGGGCAGACAAGGAGACGAGCACTTGAGAGACCATTTAATTGCAAATTAGTGCCCCAGTGCTTC